AAATAAAAAGTAAATTGGAGGCGCCGGGCATCGATCCCGGTACCTCTCGCATGCTAAGCGAGCGCTCTACCATCTGAGCTACGCCCCCGGTGAAGATTCCTTCGAAATAGTAGTAAATGAATCGTTATACATAGAAATATGTTCTAAACTTTAACTAAAATCCTAAATAAATTTCACAAACAGAATGCTATCAAAAAAACAATCCTCTATCAGAATGGAATATCAGGTATGGAGATGCAAAAAACACATGTAATAATATTTTAGTATGAATGTAACAATATTTTAGTGGAAAACTAGCAGCAACTAGTTTCTCCCCACTTTATTATTTTTCGAAATAAATACATAATTGTTTTCGGCGTCGCCTTGTTACACAGTTAAATTTCCACTTTTTGTCTGATTATTATAATTTATGGTTGAGAAAACTGGAATGGAGTTGAATATTTTCCTTAACGTATTGAGTGACTTGCCTTAAAAATTTTAAAGAAAACAAGCAATGTAGTAACTTTTAATTTTGTACGTGTCGGGACACGGTTTCCAATCTTTCTAGATTAATTGGCGATTATAACGCAATAAAATAAGTTTAAATGCATATTATTGCAAATTGAACGCATTTTCTCCAAATGACCGCTTGCTCTAAGGCCTTAAATTGTAATCTAATAACATTGAAACTACCGGATTGCCTTTTACTGCGGCTTGTTATATAAAACCAAAAATCCTAATAAAAGCAATTTTGCTCGGCCCGCGGATAACAACCCGCTATAAAAGATATTAGTCCCAATTTGCCAAAGCTCTTACACAAATAAAAGCATCCGCGCCAGCTTCATTTGTTTTGTTGCTGGCTGTGTTTTGAAAACTTTTTAGAGATCACGCTAGAGCAAAATCGATGGTTTTTCCTACATGCCCACGTTCAACGTGGCAATTTCGCAAACACTTCTCGTCCGACTGTAAATTGGATGAAATACATTTTTAATATCGGAAATTCGCTCGATCAGACAGAAGCAATATAATGAAATGGAATAATTCTGTTTAGAAACAAGAAACAAATTTCAAATACGTCATACATTAATATCAGTAGGTAAAAAGTATTAATACAGCGGCGTTTTAACTTAATAAAAGTGCATTCAAACATGAATATGTAAATCCTCCTAAATGATTGTGGCACAATTAAAGTGAAAAACATCAGCAATCAGAAAAAAATGTATGAATTTACGATAAGAAAAGATAAGAGAAAAGAAAATTTGTATAAAGTGAGTTTATTACAATGAAGTTCCAGACATCTATGTTACCTTTAGAGAAAATTCTACAGCACTGTAATGGTGAATTAGTAGCAAAAGAAAAACGAAGTCGTAACAACCACGTCACAAGCCTTAAATTGCTAGGTAGCTCTAAATCCAGAAGAACGCCAAGGAATCTCTGGCAAGTTGCGTTTTAATTAAATTCAACTATTATTGAAATTTATATCCTTTGCTTTGTTAAAACTTTTCGCACTAATGTCGCAAATTTGCAAATCTCTTTGTAATTCCGAATTACCGCCGCGGCTTAGCCTGAAATCACAAACAGAATACGAATAAACGCTTGGGGATTTAGTTAAAACCCATTGCATTAACCAGAAAAGGACGAGTTACCGAATTTTAAGCTATTCTAATTGGAATCTATTAACTGTTCATCGGTTTGAAAAAACTTACTGAATTTCCATCTGTTGTCAGGCAAAAGCAATATCAWGTGACTCAAAAAAACTTGAAATTTTTTTATGAGTTTTGGATATGTAGTCAATTTTCATTTTCACACATAAATGTGTTTTTACCGTTCCATAAGCCGTAAACTATACTTATTTCAGAGTTTGATTGAAATATAGGAAACCGTGTTTCGTCGAGAGGTTTACAAACGATATCTCTACATAAAATTATGGCAGTTTCTTTCTAAGAGCAAACAACATCTATTTTTACACAATATAACTTATTGTAGTCGTGTGGTTAGCTTATTTTTTACTTTAATCGGATACATAGTCTTCTTCTTATTCTTTGTAAAGACCCTTTGGTCTGTTTATTTCGTCTGGTCAATGTTGTTGATTCTCCTGTGATATGGATGTTCAACTATCCTTCCATCTTTTCGGTGGTCTTCCAATGAGCCATTTACCAGCTGAATTTCCATTCGACACAATCTTGGCTATTCTTTCGGGGTTCATTCTTTCTACAGGGTCCCGAAAGCATCTTCTGCGCGTTCGTCCCCATCTGATTATATCCTCCACCTTGCAGGTCTGTCTTATTGTGGCGCTTCTCACTCTATCCTGTAGTGTTTCTCCCGCTATTGACCTTAGAGTCTTCATCTCTACCGTTCTTAACATACATCGGATAAATAGTAATGCTTCTTTTTTATTGCAACTCGCCTAAATTAGTAGGTATGATAGATGAGGGTTTATAAAATTTTTGGTGACAAAGGCAAAATATTTTTCTTCATGTTCATATCGCTTCCAAATGTTACTAACTTGAAAACCAATGTTTAAAAGTAAATGTCCGTTGACTTGCTTCTTACTATGCAGGGTGAACCATGTATTTCGTGATAAACGTTCACGGTCGACCAAAAATGTTTTTTTATTAAATAATATATATTACTTCGATATACATAATATTATGTTTTTATATAACAAATAACTTACGTTCATTGCAATCTACCGGGTATGTTTTTTTGAGAAATTAAACTGCCTATTTTTCCTCTGATTTTATTTAAATCGTTTCTATCTTCCGAAAGTGCGAAATAGTGTATTAACACTATTTATTTGAATAGTGGACAGTTCACAAGAGCCGCATAAACCTTTTCATTTAGAAGACACACAAAAAAGTGAAACTGTCCGGCAATTATTGATTAACTTGAAATTGACAGAAAAAAAATCACAACGAAAAACACATTTTAAACTTTAAGATTTTCTATCTCTTATATATTTGTTGGTATACAGGGTGATTCATTACTAGTCATTATTAGGTGCAACAATAGAGGGCATTTAGTAGAAGATCAGATGTTCGGAAATGTTTCCATGATGCTTTAATCGTTTTGATCGTTTCGTACAAAAATGAGTTTTTTCGAGTTTTAACGCATTTAATTTTAATTTGTTCTGTAATTTGTTTCATTGTAAACTTGTTCAATCGTAGGTTTTTGTGAACTTGGTTGAAAACTTCATAGTCGTGTTGAACGACTGCAAATGGCGCAGTAATTCTTGGATCAGGTCTTGCTTTGTTTCCACTGAGGTTTTCTCAATCAGACACTTTACGTGCCCCACACAAAGGAATTTTAGGGGGCCACGAAACTGGACCCCCTTAGACGGTCCAATGTTGTCCAACAGAAAATTGTACATGATGGTGTATGTTTCGGGCAGATTTGCTGTCGAGAACGTTTATTGAGATTATTTTTTTTGCTCCAAGCATGGTTATTCCTACTGTTGAATATGCAACTCGCGTAAAACTGGCTTCACGCGTTCATAAAACAAACGGACAATTTTTCCTGCTCTTTCCACATCAGTATCGTGCGTATCGTGGAAATTAAGTTTCAAGTTTTTTCAAGAAGTTTTCAAAGTGTCAGTCTCGATGAATTGCAATAAACTTTTTCAACCAGAGATGTTGGTTTGAAGGATAGCGATCTAACAAAAAAATACTGATCCGTTTGGTGCTATGCTACTACAAGCGAATTGAAATAAAATGCATTAAAACTTGAAAGAACACTTATCTTTCTTTCTCAGCATTTTACACAGTTATTTTGGGCCACTAGTTCTTATACTCAAATGCCATCGATTACTGCACTAAACGATATCGCTCGTTACACCTCGCACACCTCGCTCTTTGTTAGCATAATTCTGAATCACCCTGTAAATATCGGTCAGTAACCTGTAAACTTATGACCAGACAAAAAACGAATTACAATTTGTACACGAAAACGTGATCTTTCAACGAAAGCAAACTTTCTGAACATTCATTTCACCAGAACAAAAGAAAAGTTGCACCCTCCCAACAGCAGAACCAGTCGCCATCCTGTGATTTGTGCCACCATTGAGAAACAATGCCATACAGGCTGCTAATTTGAGCTTTGTATGTTTTATTATGCGTGACGGGCCATGTGACATCAATGCCTTTGTCGCAACTCACAATCATGAGTTCCAAAAATGATGTCGCTTAGACTTTAATTAAATGACGGTCGTAAAGCGGAGTAAAGCCACAACCAATATTAAAGACAATACGGTAATCAATTTTGTTCAAACACCCAGTGGTTTATTTCGAATAGTTGTAAATCATCTTCAACGAATTCCGTAATATACATACATCTACATTTCGATTTCAACGAGAATTTAATACCAATTGGTGCACCCCTTTAACATTTCAAAGGCTTGATCAATTTATTTTCCATTTACGTATTGCAAAGGATGCACCTCATCCCATGCCACTATTGAAATGACATGAGCAGCAATTAGATTGTAGTACTTTTTTTTTGTAAGACTCATATAAAAATTCAATCGAAGACATTTAAAAGACATACTAAAACAGAGACTCGAAGAACTGATCGGAAAACATATACCAACCTACCAATTTGGCTTCAAACAATATTACTCGACTATTCATCCGCTA